AATTCTAATCTACAGAATTCTAATTTACAGAATTTTAATTCATAGAATTCTATTCGACTTTTATGATGTAAAGAATGCAAAGAATCATAAGAAACATTGAGTTACATCACTATATAAATAGTTCGTATTTGAGAAAGTATAAAAGGGTCTCGAACAATTTCGAAAGAAATTAGTTTTCTCAAGACTTAAACCATGGCGAATAATCGATCCTTTCAGTCGTTTCATAACGTGGGCAAAGTAGGTACAACGTAGCTATTCATTATCAAACTTTCCTCGCAGACGCAACGTTAAATTATTCTGGTCTTTCGATTTTTCCTACCTTGAGTAGGATCGTTAAAACTCTGCGCGGAAAATTTCGCAAAACTCGAATGTGAAATACGATGCTGCGCCTCTATTAAACTAAAGTTGTCACTTTTCCGCGTAATTTCTTACAGGCAACTTTCGGGAAAATTGGCTAGCTTTTCCACATGAAAACCAGTATCTGTCGGAAATATCTATACAAAATGCGTCAAAAGCGACAAGCTTCTGTCATTTACAACAGAAGTTCGGTAACCCCGAAAATTAAAAAGAGAAAATGAAACTTTGCAGAAAAGAAGTTCAATTGAAATCATTTTTTGGCAATGAAACGGTCCTAGAAAAGTTAAATTCAAAGTAGTGTGGTTTTTGGACGTCCCAAAGAATGTTTGGAAAGCATAATTTTTTTTTTCAAAGTTCACTTCTACCACTCTGAAGTTTTTGAAAGATATCTTTTCCGAAAATTCCTTATCACCACAATGCAGGATACCAAAAACCGCACATTTTTGAATTTAACTTCTTTTTCGTATCTCACAAATTTTTTCAGGACATTTCCTTGAAAACTCACAATTTTTCTGAAAACGTCTTTTCAAATTTTACCCTAGAACCGTTTCATTACTGAAGTAAAAAATGGTTTCGTTATTAGCGTCAATTGAACTACACTTCCCCAAAGTTTCAAATTTTTTGGAATTTTCTCTTGTAGGAAATTCAATTTAGCTAAGAAACTTTCTTTCGATTCATCATTCGAATTTCTTAACATAGATACACATTTATAAAAAAAAGCTACTTTCTTCACGTGCATTAATAAAATATATAAAAGTTCACACATTTAAATACACCAAGATGAATAATTTCAAATATATGCAATTTGTATCCTTCACAAAAACCTAAAAATCTATTCAATTAACACGACAATTATATGGAAACATTTTCCTATTATCTCTCCTTCAAACTGTACCCAATATCATCGAGCTTACTTCTTAATAGCAGAACCTGCTTCCAACGTGTCCACGCGTCGCAAAAATTCAAAGTAGAAACATTCACCTAAGGTTCCTCTCAAACCTCCAATTCCATTCGACTCGCTACATATCGACGATTTCATTTGCAAAGAACCGTAAGAGACCGTAGCAAAAAGGAATCTTTTCCCTCTCTACAAGTAAAAGGAGAAACGTACACTTTCGTTAAATCGATTCGAAGTGAAACGGTTGAGCCTCGAGACCGAAAATTCGCTTCGTTCGGCAAGACTCGATTCGAAGATTCGATTCGAAAAACAAGCAGAATTCTCGCGTGGTCCGGCGAGCTTGGCGAAGGGAGAGGAGAGTTCATCGAGGCGTAGGAATACACGCGAGACGCAAGCTTGTGCGTTCGAACACGTTCGGAAATTCGGAGGGTTTCTCTAGCAGAAACTCCAGTTGGAAACAAGTACTGTACACTTTCGAAAGCAAGCAACGAGCCAAACCGAAGGACGATATTATCCTGGAATTTCTGAGAAAGGTGATCTTATCGTGAGACGTGTTCATGGCCCGACCTCGTTTCCACGACTTATTCCGTCGATCCTTTGATCGAAATCCAAAATATACTCTTTACAGAAAGTTCGAAGAATTCTTCTTCATACGTACGTGTTTTCTGTAATTTTTTCTCTTTTTTGGTAATTATTCACAAAGAGGCACATCTCGACGATTTCGATGAGCTTCGGAGATGTTGTCAGGGTCAGTGTTCTGAGTAACTTTGCTTGTACAGTAGAGTATCAGTTATGTGAATCAATTGGGGCCAAGGTAATGAGAAAAATCGACGAAATTCGGATAATTAAATATGAAAATGTCATCTCAAAATGTCCACCGTTTTTGAGTAAACGTAAATATTGCTGATCTGTTTCTGTATTAGGTCACAGTAACTACGAGTCTGCTTCTGTTCTCTTCATTTCGTATTATTGCCATAAATGTTTTATGAAGTTTCGAAAGACCCATGTTTGTATAACATCTTTTTCTTATTTCGACCCTTAGAATATACGTTTCGTCGTTAAAATCTAAGACACCCTGTATAGCGCAGGTCGCTTTTCGCCTTCGATAGTAAATTTTTCTGTATCGAACATTTCTCAGATTTCTACTGCTCACTTTTGTTTTCAAAACCCACAATTCTTAGCTGCGAAACGCCTGTGTGGTCCTGCCTTCAGACGTTTCATTCGTTATAATGTCAGTTCGTCCGGATACACGTTCACTATGACCATAGCCTAAGCAAAATTACTCGGGAAATTGACACTGACAACATGCAGCGTCTTCCACCAATATTCGGACACTCTTTAGAACAGTATAACTTTTTCTTTAATTCGACCTAACGACTTGAGTTTCTTCACTATGACCATAGCCTAAGCAAAATTACTCGGGAAATTGACACTGACAACATGCAGCGTCTCCCACCAATATTCGGACACTCTTTAGAACAGTATAACTTTTTCTTTAATTCGACCTAACGACTTGAGTTTTTTTTCAGAAGTTAGAAGGATTAGTATACCAGATAATACGGACAAAAAGATTCGAGAAAATTGCAATTTGTGAGAATTGTGAAGAAAATTGTAAAGGTCACTGTTTTACAACTTTTGTTATCTGAGCTTGCAATGAAAATTTAAAACACACGTTTTGTAGATTTGTATCAATTATTATACGTATTGAGAGTTTCATCGAAATCGGTTGATGCAGAAACAAGCATATAAGAATCTTCAGATTTATTAGTCATAATATGATTTTCACAATTTCTAACCGTTTGTAATTCACAGCAACGTTAACCGATTCCAACGAAATTTTCAGTAAGTGCACAATTGACATAAATCTACAAAACGTATATTTTAAATTTTCATTACAAGCTCAGACAAAAAAGTTGTAAAACATGACCTTTACAATTCTTTTCGCGATTCCCACAACTTGCAATTTTTTCCAAAATTGTTTTCCACGTCATCCAATATACCAATCCTTCTAACTTCTCAAACAAAACAAAAATGAAGTCGTTTGGTCCAGTTTTAAAGAAGTTACAACGTTTTAAAGAATGTCCGAATATTAGTGGGAGACAGGGTCAATGTCCCGAGTAATTTTGCTTAGGCTGCGCTTATAACGAATTCGTTTGGTCCGGTTTAAAAAAAGTCACAATATCCTAAACAGTATCCTAATATCAGTGGGAGTATCAGAAGCTCGTCGAAATCGACGAGATGTGCCACTTTGTAAATAATTACCTTTCTCTTTCAACCTATCGCAGGAGTGACGATTCTGCTGTCGCTGACAGTATTCCTGAACCTCGTGGCAGAAAGCATGCCGACGACCTCGGACGCTGTTCCTCTAATAGGTACCTATGCTTATCAAAAACGATAGTTACGCAAGTGTGTGTTACAGTTTCTGTCCTCTCTGTGTCTCTACATGTAAATATGTACACGTGCACCGTATTTGTGCCTGTCGTTGAGCAAAGTCCTGCCCGGGAAAGCAAGTCCCGGAAGAAACGCGCGGGAGAGAAAGTCGCGTGGAACGGGTAAGAATGATCGAAGGTCGTTCAGACTTGGACAATTTTGTCATTTCTGGGTGGACGTTCACTCCTTCGGCTCTCTATTATCGAGGCGCCGGAGGAAGATTGAAGATTGCTCTCTCAATGGGGTTTCTCGTCGAATTTGTTGCATTAACCGGAACGAAGAACGGTCGAAACGTTTTTCGACTTCGACGAAAGAATTGCAAGACGTTTTTGGGAAAGATGCGATTACACGGTTACTTTGAGCGGAACGAGGATTTCATAGGACGGTCGAACGCAGGATATAATAGTGATCGGTTGCCCTGCTTGTTTTGCGGCTTGTCGTTCTACTGTGATCATTTTTCTTAAGTTTCATTTGATAGGAAGTTGGTCTAAAGATTGGAATCCTTTTGAGACGTGCGTTAACCCCTTGACATATGATTTCCCTTCTATCTGTGCATCTAAGCGTCAGCCATTTTACTGTTTCAGTACTGTATCAGGTAAGAAAAGCTAATCTCTTGCAAATTACATTTAGTAATCCTCAGTTTTACAAATTCAAACGAAAGTTAGGATTACGATGAATTTTTCTTAATAATGTAACTATTTTTCTCACATCTTCGCCAGAATCTCTGCGACGAGTCTGAAAGGTTGTCATAGATTAAGGGGTTAAAGAGTACGAGGATTGCTGGTTTTATGTTGGTTGGGGTGAAAGTGATGAGGATTAATTAAAAGGACAATATAGAATCTTTTTTCGAGGATTTTCGGTTTTGAGAAAAATTTATTTTAAAGATTTTAAATAATAAATTTAAAACATTTATTGCATATACACGACTAATTCTTGTTAAACCTTTTTATTTTTGAGGATAGAAATAATTCATAATTTTTGTACTCATTTTTTTGTGAACATTAAGTATATTATAATTCTCATTTAAACGAATCCATTTTTTTATATATAAATTGAAGTGTTTTTTGAAGTGTGAGGATTAAAATGATTTTAACGTATTTTTAACTAATGCAGAGAAACTTTGAGCAAGAAAATTATACTTTTATCAACGAATATTGCCTTTTTAGAGGTACTTTTTAGAGAAAATTTATCTTGTACAAATGTTAATATGTAATAAACGAATATTCTGCAAATAACATTATAAAAATTCTGTTTAACTTCTATTCAACGTTTCTGATAGAAAATATGAAATCAAAATATCAAGAAGTATAAATATTTTGCGAAATTAATTTCATTAAAAATACGCGTGAAAGTTTCTTGTAGGAAAAATTACGTCACAAAGGAATAGTTTTCTGTTTCACACAAAAACAAATTACCTAGTAAAATCATACATTATAAATTTAAAAAAAAACCTACAGTATGTTAAACATATTTCAAGTTCAGCTTTCGCAACATTTAACGACCCAATTTTTACATCTGCGCACAAGTTTCGCGGTGCAATTAAAATATTAAAACGGTCAAAGGAACGAGTTCTATAATTACAGCTGGAGATAGTTTAAATATTACAGGAACCTAATTAGCCAGAATTTTTCACATTTCTCGCCACATGATTTTACAATTGTTAACGCCCAATATATTGCAGCTCCGTAGGCGCCAATTTTCAAATCACACTCGTCGTCGATGAAATCTATTCATCGTCGAATGAAATCCTGTCAATCGATGAAACATTTTTTTACAAATTCCACAGGATCTAGTCGTTAACGAGGGACGCGTTTCGCCTTGGGTATCCGCTTTAATTTTGCCGCAGAGTTAACCGCAAGAAAGAAATTTAATTTTCGCCGAAGTGGTCGAGAGAGAAGCGAAATATCGTGGCTGTCCGCATCTTCCAGGTCGACGAACTTTCTGCACTTTTCCAGCTACAACGGGATCGAAAATTATGTCATCGCGGAAAAGTGACTGGCTCTCCTGAAAGCCTACGAATCATTCTGATGATTTAGAGTAAAATCTTTGGTGACGAAATTATGTGGTGCGAAATCATTTGGAACGAAGTCATTTAGAATAAAATTATTTGGAGCAAAATCATTTCGAGTAAAAATATTCGGAACAAAATCATTTGGAGCAAAAATATTCGGAGCAAAAGCAGTTGGAACGAAATTATTTGGAGCAAAATCTTTCGGGACAAAATCATTTGGAGCAAAATATTCGGAACAAAATCATTTGGAGCAAAATCTTTCGGGACAAAATCATTTGGAGCAAAAATATTCGGAACAAAATCATTTGGAGCAAAATCTTTCGGGACGAAATTATTTGGAACAAAATCATTTGGAGCAAAATCTTTCGGAACAAAATCATTTGGAACAAAAATATTCGACACAAAAACATTTGGAGCAAAAATATTCGGAACAAAATCATTTGAAGCTAAATCTTTCGAGACAAAATCATTTGGGACGAAATCATTTGGAACGAAATCATTTGGAGCAAAATCATTTGGAGCAAAATCTTTCGGGATAAAATCATTTGGAACAAAATCATTTGGAATAAAATTATTTGGAATAAAGTCATTTGGAACGAAATCATTTGGAACGAAATCCTTTGGAGCAAAATTATTTGGAGCAAAATCATTTGGGATAAAATTATTTGGAACAAAATCATTTGGAACGAAATCATTTGAAGCAAAATTTTTTGAAGCAAAATCATTTGGAGCAAAAATCTTTCGGGACAAAATCATTTGGAGCGAAATCATTTGGAACAAGCGAAAAGAAATCGAATGTGGTCTATTATTCGTGTATAAATGTGATATAGTGAGGCAAATTGCAAAAATTTGAAAGAACAGATAAACACTTTAAATAATCCATCTGACTAGTCCAAATAAGATAATGTTTGCATTTGCACTTACGGAGAAATTTATTAAAATACTGCCAAGCATCAGTGCAACAGATATTTTGCACGTGATAACACATCAAAGTAAAGCATTTAAGTTTCCTGCAATCTGTTTATTTTTTCAATCGACATCTAACACGTGCTAACGCATCGAAAACAAGAATTAAAATTCACTCGATGCTAATGTTTGCTTTTTATCGATATCGACGTCTAATACGTGATAACGCGTTAGAAAAAAGCATGAAAATTTAGTACAAACTGTATTTTCCGACTTTATTATATCGCTCAATTTTTCGAATTTATTACATCGTTTAATTTACCGTGAAAAAGCAAAGAAAATTTCATTTACAGGAAAAAACATCGAAATTCCATAAAAATTTTATCAAATCACTTCACTAAATTGTTTAATTTTTTTTACTTCGTTATATCGCCGGACAAGTACTAACAATATTTGCATTAAAAATTTGCATATTGTTGTTCTACTTTTAAAAGCGCTTCTTTCCTCAAAGAGATATTTTACACCCTTCCACTTTTATTGTTGAATTATGCATTAAGATACCGGGTAGAAGGAAGTTCGAAATTTATGGACGAATATATACTTCTGGCTATAATCTTTCTGTTTCATTCTACATCATGCTCTCTGGGAAATTTCTTATTCTTCGTGAAATTCGTGATTTCTTTAAAGGAGCAACTCAAGCAAATGCTAAAATCTTTCAGGTGAAACCTCGACAATTGGAACGCAGCTGTAATAGGCAGCAGTAACGCAAGCCATTCTCGCTTTAATTAACAACGGGTACCCCTCGCTTTAATTAGTCCCCATTATCAAGTTCACGCGGTAAGATATAAGCAACCGTATTCCAATGGGAGCACTTTGCAATCTTCTCCTGAAATTTTTCGGAAAAAGAGGTTTGAATTTCACGTAGTAGGTAGGCAGAGACTGACAAAAATGTGACTCGCGACCTGGAAATGTCAATAAAATTCTACGGACATGAGAACTATTTTTCTTGGCCGTGTTTCTGAATTTTTCCGGTTGATCAATCACTCTTGAGGTGCCTCCATCGTCCGATATTCAAAAATATGTTTTTTCCCTTCGCAAAATTTATTTCTTTATACTTGCCTCGCGATAACAGAGTAAATGGACTAATTTTTGAAAAATTACTTCTTGAAATTCTTGAAATTTTTACGTCAATTATTTTTCAATTTGTTAGTGAAAATATTGTGTAATCGTAATTCTTGAAATTTGTATTTTTTAAATTTATTACTTTCGATTATTATTTTTATTCGTGTATATTTGCCCTAATTTTGTTAATCAATATTTTCACTTCCTACAATTGGTACATCATTCCATAAAATTATTCTCATATTGTAGATATTTTCATGTTTTTTAATTAGTCTTATTTTTTTATCCATTTAATTTTGTATTTATTATGCAAACTATACTTTTATGAGATCAAAATTTTAATATACTCTTTTGCAAGTTTTCATTCAGATCGATCTTCCAGAAAATTTTGTAAAAGTTAAAAATTCGTTTCTTCAATTTGATTGATAATTAATGCTAATTAATTTACATATACATAATAATATTTAGTTTCTTTTTCGTTTTTAGAATCTCCGAAATTCGACGAAAAATTTTGTCACAATAGCATAAACGATATAAAAATCTTTATTTCTCGTTGCAACAGTGTGTCGACCGTTTATCGTCGCCAGCTATACGTAACTGATAACGTTATTGCCCTGGCTGAGTGAGCAATTCCACGAATTTATCCAATTCAATTTTGCCGATCCAAATCACGATATTTTCAACTTTCCCCCTGTCTCTCGACATTTCATCTCCGTTTTAGCAGCATAATAAAAAATAAAGAACACGTTTAATGTACTTACTCGTGTGAAAGGTTCGTTCCTTTCTTTGTAGAACAGCTTCCATTCAAATTCATTCTTTGCACTCGAAGATCTGTCTATACTATATCAATATCTATTGGTTTCAAAATTAATATTCAGTGTATTTGCCAAAAAACTGATGAAA